TTTTTTGTGATTTTTCCTAGAACTTTTTCTGCCGTTGTTTAGTTCACTCAGAAGAAACATATATAATGATTTAATCCCTTTTTGGCTTTTTGCTTCAGTCAAGCATTACGAGGTGGATCTTTCCCGCTCTGCAGCGACAAGACGCCCATGAAATAGGCTCAGAAATCTGTTACAATGTTTCTTTTTACTTAAAAAAAATTTGTTTGTATTCGTTAAATATATATAAAACCATACCTCAAAATTCAATAACTTCGTTTCTTTCTTTCCCTTCTAAAAAAAAAATCACAAAAAGACGCTGTTTTAGAACATTCTAATTCAGGACACCCGCCTAAACAATCGTCGCTTACGATTCTCTTATCCTTTTTTAATATATTCCTTGCAACGTGTTAAAATGTGACCACTCCACCTCTACAATTGCGTTCTTTTTTCTCACCAAGAAACTTCTTCGTTTTAGATAATATTTGTTCCTACATACTGTCCGTTGTATTTTTAATTGTAAGCCATTCCATCGAAATACGCAAGAATAAAAATGCAATAGTTGCATCGATAGAGCATACTACTCGCGCTTAAATAATTGAAGCGGTAGAATATACGCGTTAATGTCAACCATTGTGTTAACTTTTTGTGTTAACTTTAAATTAATACTTACACTAAATTTTTCTAGAATGATGTGCATACAAGCAATGTGCCGATATTAATAACCAAACCGATTTGTTTATTGAAATCCGTATAAAATTCGAATCAAATCTTCTTAAGACGACGAACTGTAACTCTTCCGGGATAAACTGTCTCGTTAACGGCGTGACACATCGTGAATTTTCCAGTAGCTTCTGATTTCGTAACAGATCTTCGAGTCTCGAGAACCACATCTCGAAGATAAAAAATATCGTACGCCGAGTAATTTCCACCGATACGCAAAGATATATTTCATCCGCGTCCGCTTTCTTCCATCTCGACGAGTGTCTTAAAATGTCTATAAATGGAAATCTTATCCATTTCGCGTATATAGATCGTCTGAAGTCGCATGTAAGCAGGCGCTTCATCGTGTGCATGCACTCGATCACCCGCATTTCCTTTTCTTTCGGCGTATCAAAGGAATCAGAAAGTTTTACGACACAGCTCCGTCGGAGGATATTTTATATTGCATCCAGATTTCTCAAGAAAACGTCGACGAATCAGAACCGCTAACCTACTTACGTCACCGCTATTTCCCCGGCAAGTGGAGTTAATTTATTGTATTAAAAATCAATATCTCGCTTCGTCAAAATTTTTACGCGTTTCCTCCTTCGCCTATTTTTAATATTACATTCGTTACAGTATAAAGCTTGACATAATTCATATGTATATATATGGAGTTTTTTTAGTTTTTTACTTCCTGTAAGAAATATCTCGATGGACGGAATTAAGCGTATTGCAAATAGGCTCGAATCGTTAAATGGAATAAAAAGAGATATTTTTAATTGGAAGGTTGAACTTAAATAAGAAAAGACGTAGCTGCAGACCCTCCACCTGTATTTTTCAAGTACATTCGGAGACTAGAATAGTTTTTAAACGCGACAGTTTTAGGATTTACGTAGTTTATTGTTCTGCGAATTTGTATAATGAAATTTCGGTTAATTCTTGCGAGTAATCAACTGAAAAGATACTTACGGTGACAGAGTAATTTTAATAATAATTCTGTGGCTCATTTTTACTTATTAGGTTCTTAGCTGCCTCTTCATTTCGTTAATGGAGTATACTTTCGTAAGAAAGTATTATAGTTGGGTAGTATTGGCAGTGGAATTGAATATTGCTCGCTTTATTACTCTGACTGAAATTTTGTTTGTCGTTTACGTTGGCCATATCGAAGGATAATATAGGTAACCAAGGATCGATTTTACTGAAATTAATTGGACTATGAAGTTCAATTGTTTCGGTTTTGGTCGAATGTGGACATATCGTACGTAATAGTCGCGAGTGATTGAAATTCTGGTTTAACGTCCTTGTTCAAGCATGCGTTTTTTTAGAAGAGAAATTTATTTGTATCCTTCATTATTCGACAGGGTAATAATTGTTTCTGCGGATGTTATCTCGAAATGTATATTTATTTATTTTTTTTTTTTAATATTACGAAGTACTCGCAGGTTTTTGATAGCTCTCAAAAATGTTTATTAGTATTACAAATGTTTCGAATTCTATTTTAAAGAATTACGATGATTTTTTATCGTCGAATATTATCTCTATGGATTATCTTATATAATTGAAAATATATATTAATTTGTTTTTTACATTCTACATGACAAATATATTAGATTTCCTTTCCATCGACTTTCTTTCCATATAAATAAAAATATTAATCTTACTCCGCATAAACAAAAAATTAATAGAATCTGGGTATAATTCCTCTTCCGTGTAAAACCTATAATCCTTATGAAAATATCATTCAGATAAAATCTGAATATCAAGGACAAAATCGTTACGCGTTTATTCGTTTTATTTATCGTTCCTTTTTTTCTTTTTAAAGTGCTGGCGTTTGATATCGCGTAGGTAGGAGGCAGAAATTTGATATAAATTTATTTTCCGAACCCATCAATAAACGCCGGGAGTTTGGAAAAAAATTCGTGTCTATTGTGTCGAATCTTGCGCGTTTTGCACACTCGTATTCGCTTTTTTCGCACCATTTCATCTCTATATATTTTTTTTTAATTTTCCATATGCTATTGCTCTTCCAATATAGTGACATAAACTTCCATAGGACATCGATCTTATAATTTATAGTTTAACGATAATCCATATATTCCAATATCTTGTCAATTCCTTATAAACTAACGACAGACAAACAAATAAACAGATTCACAATAAAAAATTGAAACGATTCACAAAATTGACGACAATGATTCTTAGCACCGGAAACATAAACCAAATAGGCTACTAAATTATTTCCCCCTATTTTTCTTTTCTTGTTTGAAACTTCGCTGAAGCTTTATTTTTACTATACGCGCACATAGACACTGAAGACGTACCTATACGTATAATTTATATAATTTAATAAATGTACACACTAATTAATCGTTACATGCGTCTACATAATCTTTCAATAAAATTATATCCACCAAACCTCTACCAAATTCTACGTTATCCTATTTTAAATATTTTACATATTTTCGTATATTATATGTATTGGTTGCACTTTCAAATTCCCCACGAATACATAAAAATGCAAGGTCGAATAGAAACAGGAAGCAAGAAAGTATGGTACGTGATTAAACGATCGTGTAGCTGCTGTTAAACGAGAGCTACGGGTAGGCGAATGACTGGAAAAGGGAGAAAAATAGGGAAAAAAGAAGAGAATTAGAGGAAAAAGATGGAATACTCCAAACAAGTAAAGGAATTGTGGACAGGAATGTAGACAGACGAGTATACGCGTCTGGGAAAGAAGACGCGCGAGATACGCGTGATTTATATACTGCGATATATTCGTAATATCGAAGTAGTTGGCCAGAGTGCACGTCCAATTATCCAAATTCCTTCGTCGGGACGAGAAAACAATCCAACGTGTGTTAATAGCGTGCGTTACGTGGCAAGATTTTTTTCTAAGTGAAAGAAATCGACTGTGTATTATATCGCGTAATGGACCGATTGCGGCTTCCGTGATCCTTTTTCGCCAATCTGCTATGAATCGGCGGATTTTATACTTCTCTGTCACGGTTTTTGGCTTTTTCCTGTTCTGGGGTGTGGAAGCGAAACTGTTGGTTATCGTGGGCGAATTTGTTGAACGAACGAAGACAAGAACAAGAAATTATTCTTATTAAATAATAATAGCAGATACATTTTTCATATACTCGTTAAATTAATAATAGCAAAAGCGCAATAGTATAATTTTCGTTAGATAATTACTATCTTCGTTTAATATTATTTCATAGTTATCCGAACGTGATCGATGATTCGTTTCGCAAATTCTTTCTCTGACAATCAACGACCCAAGCCAAACCACCAAAAGAACCAACCATTACGGAACCGATCGTGTGTACGCGGATCTCTCATGCGATTATCATGCCCAATCGTTCTCCATCCGTTCACGGTTGTCCATCTTCTGGTGAAAGAGAAATTCCATTCTCGTGGCCGATCTGCCCGGTCGGATTTTTCAGTGCGTAGCGTCGCTCTCAGATGCAATCTCACGCAGAGGAAGTCGGCACGTGGTCACGCATCACCCGACCACCCTCGCGACTGTCATTATCTCTGCTGCTGCCGGAGAAATTCCCAGAGGTCGAGTAGAGTCGCGCGTGCAACGAAAACGAACGAGACGGACGAAAAGGTTAGACTGAAATGAGAGAGAAGGACGAACGAAGAGGAAGAGAAAGCTACGAGCTGGATAGATGGAGACGCGGAGGAAGACCAACGATAAGCGAAAACAGAAGAGCAGACGCAGAAAACGCAGAAAGAGATCACGGAGAGGCAGAGAAAGAGAAGTTACGAAGAAGCGAGTCGCCTCCTGGTGGTAATGACAGCCCCCCGAACGGACACTTCTACTCACTGGGAAGAGCTGTTTGTTATTAAGATCGTTTTGGTTGTGTATAGCACGCCTCAGAAGCTAATAATTGCTGCACAACCTAAGGAAATTAACACTGGAACCGTTGAACTCAAAATGACCAATTTCGGATTCTTTTCTTTACATTAACTTCTGATGAATTTCTTTTCTCTATTATTCTCAAATTTTTCATCCGCCCAGCAACAAATATTTCTCGCAAAACAAGAACGTTAAAGAGTGGCAAATCGTAACGATCGATTCATTTCTCCGTTTTAACGCGTCGATATTCGTTACACTTTAAGAGGCGAGTATATTTTTTATCGTACGTAATGTATCTTCCGGTAAAAGGATAAAGACAAATCGGTAATTTTTATTCAAACGTTTGATCCATGGTTGCGTTTGCGATCTCGTTGTTCTTCTTGCTACCTTATTCGTGTATCGAAGAAGAAAACGCGTTTCGATATCTCTTTCGTAACAAAAATCTCATTTCCAGGATTCAAGCAGAAAAGCAAGTAAAACCTTGGCAAACGATGCTCACCGAAAAGAAGCGAACGACGCATCGGTAAGAAAAACTTTCTTTGAGCGATTTTCCGTCTTCCTTTGCGCGACTTTACTTCTCAAGAAAAATCAATCCGACCAAAAGAATACTCCATCATATCGCAAACAATCTTTCGTCGAAGATGAGGAACAAAAGTTTCCTCGTTTTCTCGTAATTTCCCCAAATTGTACGTTCGAGGAATCCATCGAACGTCGATGTTATTAAATTTCTCCGGCCGAAATAAAATATCGTAAGCGACATTAACAAAAAATTAATTAGTGGCCCGGGCCAGGCAAACGTCGTCATTACGCGCCATAGAATCCTGACGAAGTCAACGTTTCATTTAAATAATCGCCGAGCGAAACGCCCGAATAAGAAAATCATTCGTCCAGTCTGTGGGCTTCTGGGTATGAGATGGCCGCGTGAAATAAGTTTAATAACAACGGTCAGGGCTCTCAGTCACCAGAGGTGTTCGCAGTTGGACTGTCATTATCTTCAGGAGAGAACTCAGCCTTTCATAACTTTACCCTTTTGCCTGCTCTTTCGTTCTTTTCATCCTGCTTTTATTACGCTGTATTTTGCTCCTTCCACGCCGATTTTATCTCGGTAAGCTCGCTTTGCGTTTTCTACTTTCGCGTATTGTTTCTCCTGGTTATGCGTTTAATGGGGTCAATGGAAAAACGGTGCAAGCGTGTTGTTTCTTAAAAATCGGACAAATACGATATTGGAAATTTCCTTTTTATCTAGAGGATTTTATTACGAGCTTTTTAGTCTCGTTGTTGCAATTAATCGAAATATTGGAATTGGAACATTATTTATCCACATTTTTTAAAGCTGTAACACTTTTACTATTACCGAGTAACGATGCAACATATTAAACGCACTAAAAAGAAATTTAATTAATTTTCTCCTTTTATTGAAGTATGTATATATATATACACATATATATTTTTTCTTTTTTAATTATGTATAATCGTACTGTAGTAACCGGTAATCAACTGTACAGAGAACAAAAGAATTTCGATAAGCTGAAACGATGAAATCCAATAGTTACGAAAAAAGGAATAGAGAAAGCGAAGGGTGTTCGATAATCATAGTCATTTCATAGTACAATCGGCGATTAATTATTAACATTGTATAGGCTACATTAGCCGACATTAACGTTTCGATAAAATATTCACGTAATCTTTCGTAACGTGTTTGATTAATTACTGGCGTACCGTGCTACTCGCATTTGCTCGTGCTATTAAACTTCATCGTATCCATAAAGATCGAGATCAACCTTATTTGCATATTATTATTCGTTATACCCAGAGGGGTCATTAAGCATGATGAAACTGCAACGCATATTGATACCATCTGAATGGTTTCTGTCGATATCAATGGATCAGAACCGTAATGAATCAAGTCCAAAATTGTCTCTATCTGAATTTATTAACTGGCTACCATTGATCAACTTTTCGTTCGATACCTAAACGTACGATAATCTTCATGTTTTTCAAAATAGATGTCGAAGAACATAAAACCGAAACGTGTTACTTTTCGTCGTATTTACGATTCCATCGTTCCTTTCTATCCAGAAGTTCAGTTTTCTATCCCTAATTTACAAAGTCTCCGCGAATTTTAGAACGCGATCTTTTCGTAAAAATTCCTCGAAAACGTGTTTTGGTACGTCCTTGCATTTAGTGCTTGCTCCAGACAAACGAACCTGGTATTTTCAATTGCTATTTCCACTTTATCTTTCTCACAGAATTCCTAAGACACAGAATGGTAGAAACCGACGTGATTAACGGAGCAAACGTCTAAAAAATGATGCAATTGAGAAACTGGACGTCTAAAATACAATATGATTAAGAGAATAGACAACGAAGAAATAACGTAATGCTGTTGGCAAATAGTCGACGATACTTCATCGAAGATCGATAACGAAAAGAACATTGGAATTTATGGAACGACCAAACTCATTCGTTAATTAAAATCGTACATGGTCAGTGGCGTAAGGTAATTAGCAAAAATTTCAAAGGGACTTTTACATGGACCTGACTCCCAGGATGGTTCCTTGCCGTTTCAACGGCCGCGTCCCTTTCTCTTCTCTCGCCGTTTACCAGAGTCGGCCAGGAAAAACTCATGTTATTAAGCCACGGCAAAAGTGCTCTTCGTCCCTCCGTCCTTTCTTCAACGCCGCTTCTGTTCTCCGCGCCGCGACTCGTCTTCTTTCTCTCTGTCGGTGCTCGCTAGATTAGTTCATTACCCGGCTAGCCGTGTCTTCTGTTTTTGCATGCCGTGGAAATAGATTTGTTGCAAGATCGACGTTGCGTTCTTGCGTACGTAACGTTGTGTACACCGCCGCTCAAAAGTATCCAAACGCCTGCTTGTTTATAGCGATATGTAATTTAATTACGAAATTATTACATACCAAGATGATCAACGATGATTTTACTTTTGATTATGATTCGTTTCGGTTGTATATTATGAAATGTTATCGCGTGTCTATTACCATTCAAGCTTTTCCCACACTCTCTAGAAACACAATTTTCATTCGAACAAAACGCTAGAAAATTTAACTGGAAAAAATTGTCTGCGACATAGAAATTGGCTTTCGAAAATCAATGCACTATTAACGCTAGAAATACCACATTTGCAAATAGATTACTTTTCTCTGCAACTGGTTAGAACGTTTCGCTGTTTTTGATAAAACTAATTATTTTATCGAAATCGAAACGTGGTTTTATCGAGTATCTATTCTATATACAATGTCGTTAATGTCGTTTTTAGAAACACTGAGTCGCACAATATGCCAAATGCAACTATCGGATGTAGAATTTTTCTATTCGTTTATAAAAAAAAAAAAAATCTGAGAGCAACTTTACGATTAAAACCCAAGACCATAAATTTCAACTATACCTATCCTACCTACTTACCTACCTATCCTGTCCTATCCTATCCTGTTTCTATCTACTTGGAAAAGTCCAAAACTAACGTCAGAATTAAATCGCAAATCTCTAAATTTCGTCCCTCGAATTCTCGCAAAAGGAAGCAGAAAAGAAAGATCGTTCGACGACTCCCATAATGATTATTTCTCCGCGCAAGTTGTTCGTTCGCTGTTTCAGTCTTGAATATATTTCACGCTAAAATATAGTTCTCGAAACGAAGGTTTTCCTTCGGAAATAGACGGTGTGCGTATACCCGCGTCACTATCGTCCGGTCATTGATCATTTTCGTAACAATTTTGCTCTCGGTGCGATAATCGCGCGAAAGATATCGCCCCCGATGCCTTTCGCTTCGGCTACGTATTATTCCGGTGGGTTTAAAGAGGGCGCGTTGCTATCAAAAGCACTAAATCAGTGGCCAGGACGCGTGTAACAAAAACAAGCATCGGTGGCGGCGAAGCATTAACACCGTTTTCGCAGTGGAAGAAGTTATGCAGATTGTGTAATTACTGATAAAAGTTGTAGCTCCGCGTTTCTTTCATCCAGCGATAGAGTCGGCTCAGGTTGCGTGTTCGAAATAACAATAATTGCGTTACGTTTCGCTAAAATGCGTTCCTAATCACGCTTTTCATCGTAGCCCTTAAGCAGCGTGCAAGAAAATGAAATTACCAAGATCAAAGTAGCTGTAAGGTGTGGCTGACACACGCGCGTAAACTTCCACGTATCGGCCCGAGGAAAATGGAATTAAGATTTTTAACGTCAGACCCCCTAGGATATCTTCGAAACTGTAACATTATTCCGAAGGGTGGCTCGCGTGGTCATTTCTCACCGTCTATGATAACTGTCGGCACAGATCCCTAGTTAGAATAAGGCCCGTTTACAAAACCAGTGCTTCGTGGGTAAATAAAATAAAGTTGAAGTTAATGTGTTCCTTAAAGTAACTTTTATATCGGCTATGATTTCAGATTAGACGATCAAGTTGATTCACGTCAAATTATTTAACGCGGCGACATATTTCTTTTATTGAGAACATCTTCGATAATACGAAACTAAAGTAAAACACTTATTAAAAGTTATTAACACTTAACAGCTATTATAAGTGAGATTTCACTGCATGAATTTTGTTTTAATATCGTCGTACTAGAACGAGACGATCGCGATGTTGTAATTATCGTAAACAGTAATTTTTTTATATTTGCTTGCTATCGAACAATAACGAAACGCTATATCGCGTCTGTTTGACTACGTTGATTTTCAAAATAAAACAAAAATGCGCTATACCTAGTGGTTAAAGTAGAAAAAAATTGTTTTATTTCGATCTTTCTTATTATTTATCAGACCATGTACGATCTCGCGAATTATCGTCGATGTGCAAGATGACGATCGATTGGAAGCGAAAAAAGAACAATTTTCTCGAACATTGGAAATGAAATCAATGTTTTTCGGCAGACAGATTGCCTTATATAGCTCGTTGTAAAGGTTTACGCCACAGCTTCGTCGTCCATTCGTATCGTTCGACACGATTATTGCATGATTATTGCGCACAACAGAGCAGCTGCTGTCTCAGTCGCCGCCAGATACCACTTTAGAGTATTTACACGATCAACTGCAGCTTGGAAAAACAGCAGCTTCGTAACCAGAAATAGCCGGAAAGATTCGAAATCACTTTTGCTTCGTTCGAATCTCGTATACAGTTAGTCAATTAAAATTGGTCTGATTTAAGGATAGTTTAAAACCGCGTAAAGCGAAGCGACCTGAATACGGTGAAAAGATCGAGGGCGCGAGAAGACAGAAGAAACGTGGACGCGTGTGTTGATAAAATACAATAAATAGCGAATTTGAATAGCTTTGGCGTTTGCTCCAGGCGATGATACCTTTCACGCGAGAATAAAGAAGCAGCGAAATTTTTCTTGCGCTTCGACCTCGACGATGCACGAACTTCGTAGTTTCTTTGTTCTTCGTGCGCCAGTTTCGAATAATTTGAAATTCGCGCGCGTACAAGCGAGGATTCTTTTCAAATTTTATAATTTGCATTATTTGTATTAATAACGAGAGAAAATCAGAGAGAGTGTAAAAGATTCGTTTTTGCAGTAA